GTGTATGTTTGTTTTAGAAGGCTAACAGTATATTGGATTGCAGACTGATAGGTTAATAAACCAAATATTTCAGTAAGTGGAGTGCTTTTATTTGAATGGAAACAGCAAGCTGAAAAATCAGATTTCAGAAGACAAATACAATATGCTAACCTTTAATGCATCGAACTTCTTTTTTGTGTGTTCTCAAAGTCTTGGTGACATGGTGTAAAATGAGTATTTTTGCTGTGCATGTGGTCTTGGGGTAAAACCCACATGGGGACACATTAATCTCAGCTGCACCCTCCCCCAAATTGCCCACACATCAGTCTTTAAGCTTCAGAACCAACCAAGGCTGTCCCCAAACCTGAGCGGGCTGCACACAAGATGCTGCCAATAGTATTCACCTAGTGCCAAGATGTGTCTGAGCCCAGAATGATGCCTTCAGTAACCACCACTGCTACTAGTCACTCACCTGGATTGGTCTGGATTAGGAACCATTTTATGCTGCTGTTCTTAGGGTTTATCTACACCTCCATTTGCCCCACCACTTTTCCCTGTGGAAACCTGATCTTTAGTGCTGAATCGGAACAAATGGCAACTGGGTTTCGTACGGATTGCCATTTGTTCCGATTTAGTGCTGGAGTGTGTGTTTTCTAGGGGAAAGCATTGGGGCAAAGACAAAACCACTCAGACACATATCTAGAAAGTGTGGGACAAGCCAAAAACGGGTCAAACCTTTTTGTAAATGATTTCTAGTCTGAATATATCTCCTGGGAAAGTACTTGCTCAGCTGCCCTTCAAAATCAGTGCCACCAGACACTAATCGCACGGGCATCAAATGAATGATGCAAAAACCAATATCTAACATGCTTATAAATCACCTTGTGACCTTTCTGAAATGTGATTCATAAATAGCAACCCTTTAAACAAAAAACCAGCAGAATAAAACAGCTCCTAATCCAGGTTGAGAAAACAATTCTTCTTTTTTTTAAAAAAAGGAAATCACAGTTAAAGAACTCTGCCCATCATATTAACAAAAATAATTGTTTTTATTTTTTAAAAGGTTTTTAATGGCCACTTAAAAGGATACTGAGAAGAACCCCGATGTACCAAATGTAATACAACTGAAATAAATGCAAATGTGGCATGCCTAAATATAATTTCACTAGGAAAATACTCATCAGCAAGATTAGCAGAATGGGGGGGGGATCTTCCCATAAACAGAAGAGTGCACTGCCTCTCTGTGTGCTTGGTGCCCTCTCGTGGGAGTGCTGCTCTTGGGAGGCTGGCCTCAGAAAACTGTGATCAACATCTTGCCCCATCCCAACAGTGGTTAGGGTTATTTTTAAAATAACTTCATTTTGTTAGTTCTTGCAAAAAAAATAATAAAAAATAAAGCTCAACAAATGTTGTGTCTGGACTTTCACTTTTTGAAATACAGTGGTACCTCAGGTTACATACGCTTCAGGTCACATACGCTTCAGGTTACACACTCCACTAACCTAGAAATAGTGCTTCAGGTTAAGAACAGAAATCGGGCTCCAGCGGTGCAGCAGCAGCGGGAGGCCCCATTAGCTAGTGGTGCTTCAGGTTAAGAACAGTTTCAGGTTAAGTACGGACCTCCGGAATGAATTAAGTACTTAACCCGAGGTACCATGGTATGGCAACCTTATCCAACAGCAGCCTCAAATTCAGTATGTTACCTTTTCCCCAAGTAACGTTGTGTACTCAGAAACACCCCTTGAGTAGCAGTGTGGGTGAGATTCTCTAATCCAGGGGTCACCAACCTTTTTCAGCCGTGGGCAGTCCACCGTCCCTCAGACCAGGTGGTGGGTCGGACTATATTTTGAAAAAAAATAAAAATGAAGAAATTCCTATGCCCCACAAATAACCCACAGATGCATTTTAAATAAAATGACACATTCTACTCATGTAAAAACACACTGATTCCCGGACCATCCGCGGGCCAGATTTAGAAGGCAATTGGGCCACATCCGGCCCCCGGGCCTTCGGTTGCCTACCCCTGCTCTAACCCATCTCAGCTAAATGGCCAGTAGTGTGGTTAGTTAATTTTAGACTTTGAACTTAATTATTTTATTGAGAGGGACTCCTTAGATAGTAATGTTTGTTGCTACCACTCACTTGGAAAAGACCCTGATGTTGGGAAAGATGGAGGGCACAAGGAGAAGGGGACGACAGAGGACGAGATGGTTGGACAGTGTTCTCGAAGCTACAAACATGAGTCTGACCAAACTGTGAGAGGCAGTGAAAGATAGGAGTGCCTGGTGTGCTCTGGTCCATGGGGTCACGAAGAGTCGGACACGACTAAACAACAACAACAACCACTCACTTAGAAATGTGGTTCCCCAACCCTTCTGTTTTTGGTGGCTCCTCTTGCTCATTCTACTGAGTGAGGCCATGGATTCCCCGCCCCCCCAAAAAAGTTCTGCCCTGATGGTAAGGATGGGTGGATCTGTCAGCTTTGGTTTCTCATTTTAGTATGAATTTCTCCTGTAAACACAACTTTGTATTCATTTGTGACCAAAGTGCAGATTTTTACGAGCAATTTCCACACATACAGTGCACTTTTGTGTTCTGTTTTCACATACACACAAACTCAACACTTTCCACTTTTTTGTACTTATAGTTTCGTTGGAGAATTGCATTGCAAACTTTGGAGCAGTGAACATTTCAAAAAACAGCTGTATTTCAGTCCGCGCATTGCTTCAAGAAATGTGAATTAGTTAGTTGCTCATTAAAATGTGAACTAAATCCTCTTTCTTCTCCATCCGTACCTGAAAGCGCCATTGCTTGTGACCAACAATGGTAGGCAGTGTGTATGTGCCCACCTTCTTTTACCAGTGAGTAATGATGGCCAAGTATCACATAACGCATCATTATATGGGCTGCTCCTGAAAATATATAACAAGAGCATAAACCCCGAAAGCGTCTCATTGCTTTAATCATCAAACACCTCTGTGTATTTATTCTTTCAAGGAGGGACTTGGTCAAATGAAAAGCTGTACTTGGCACTGTTATCTCTTCCTATTAAATCTCCCATCTTTGCCTGCTTCATTTTTTAAAGGAAGCACAGGCATTCCAGCCTGTGGCTAATGCTCCCCTCCTTTCTGCTGGTTGCTTTAGAATTCCCTATGAGCTTGTCTCTAATAGCATCTGGTCTGGATGCCATTTCTTCCTGAGTCGGATACTTGATGTTGCGTGTTTGTGACTAACGTGGCAAGAGATCATTGCATTCAAGCTTCATCTAATTGAAAAATAGAATTTTTTTTTACAGAAAGAAGCTCTGGAATTCTCTTTTTGTTTTTGTTTCAAATTAGGTACCAAACACCAGCAGTGCTTAAGAGGACGCTGTGTTGTACTTGTTTTTCCTTCACACCTAACATTCTTGCATAGGATTTGATAAAATGCAATGCACAGGATTTGGGGTTGTCTCATACAGAGACCATAGCTGTCAACTTTTCCCTTTTCTTGCAAGGAATCCTATTCGGAATAAGGGAATTTCCCTTTAAAAAAGGGAAACGTTGACAGCTATGACAGAGACACAGGCTGCAATTCTCTGCACGCTTACCTGGAGTAGGTTCCACTGATTTTAGTGTGGTTTATTTTCAAGTAGACATGTAGGCGCAGCCCAATTAACCACAATGGTGCTTACTTCCATGTAGACAGGCGTCAGATTGCACTACCAAGTCGCAAAGTACATAGGATGTTCTGGGACCTCACACATAGAGCTTGTTGTTCTTTCATTCTTATTGCAGTGATAGTGACCAGCTTTTGTGACTTTAAAAGAGAATTAGACAAATTCATGGAGGGTAAGGCTACCAGTAGCTACTAGTCACAATTAGGGCTGGGCGATATATTGGCCAAAACCAGTTCAAAGTTTACATCGTGATAATTGTTTCATAATATTTGAGCTGGAAATGTATCACAATTCACAATGTGTGTAAGGGCTAGCCGATATCTGGTTTTCAACATCTCGATAACTCACCAGCTATAAGTCACAGTATCACCTGCTAAACACTGCAATGTTTTCACCAGCTAAACCTCACAATATCACCAGTTAAACATTGCAGTGTTATCACCAGCTAAACACTGCAATCTACCTTAATGTCTGAAATAAGGATGGAACTATACAGAGGTGAACAGGCAACTGCTACTACTTAAGAGGTCTAAAATGGATAAATGATAATATTATCAATCACTACACACGTCTGTAACCTGAAGCGTCTGTAACCCAAGGTACCACTGTACTGTGTGCTTTACTAAAATACTGTGCGCACCCACACATGTGCACACACACACAGAATATATTGATGAACCATACATACACTCAAATTGAAGTTGTTATTATTCATTTATGGGGAAATTGCTTTCCAAAATGTCTATATTAGGCAACACTGCATACATACAAGCATATATTAGGATACATAAACACTAAAACACTGATGAATTTTCAACAAGATCTTTTTTTAAAAAAATGCAAATTGATTTAGAAATGTGGATGTAGAAACTGAATTTAGGGGAGGGGGAATGAGAAGAAACCAAAATTTGCAGATTTGTCCATCCCTATGAACAGTTGTTTCCAAAAGAAAACCTCATGGTGGGGCTGAGGCTAAAAATACAGCCCTCTTCTGCTATCACCACAGGATTTGGGCTTGTGGACATTTCAGTGCTGGAATAATTTTAGAAATCCTGCAACTCAGGAGGAATGGAATGCAGAGTAGAAAAAGCCAAAAAAACAATACAGTATCTGAAAGGGGGAAACCTTTCCATATGAACCTGCCTGAATCCTGAGATCATCAACACTTTAATTGATATTTGTAATTGTGACTTATTTGTATTAAATCAGGTTGCTATAAGGTGTGTGATCTTTGTAAATTTTCTTGTTTCTTCAGTTTGTAAACCACCTTGGATACAGTAATATAGAAAGGTGGTATACAAATTAAAAGTGAAATGAAATGACTACTAGTCTGACTGGTGCCCCGTTCACCTGGATGCACTAACGATAGCTCATTTGGTAGAGCTTGAAACTCTGAATTTCAGGGTCATGGGTATGAATGAGTCCCATGTTGAGGAAGATGTCCCTTGTGGTCTTTTCCAACTCTACAATTCTATTCTTCTCTGCATGAAACCTCTGAGGCAGATCTGGGAGATGGCAAGAAGAAAACAGGCCTTCTCTGTAGTGGCCCCCTTCCCTTTTTTTTATAAGATATTTATTAAGCTTTTTTAAAGTATTACAATAAAAATGAAAAAAATAACAAAAATACAAAATAAAAATAATTAAAAACACACAGATTTTCCATTACTTGTTTTCCTTTAGCTTGTTTCCCGGACCTCCTCATACCTCCCTTTTTTGTATTCCAGTTCAATTTGTTGGTTCAGCAAATCCTTACCCTCTTTATTTATCCTAATCTTTAGTCTTAAAATAGTAACGTTAAATTTTTACCTATTAACAATCCATTTTTCATAATCCCTTAAAGCATTACAGCTGGAAACCACTTAATTTCTATCCAACATCATTCTAACATTCATTAATTTTACAATAATTCTGTAGATAGTCTTTGAATTTCTTCCAATCTTCTTCCACCGACTCTTCTCCCTGGTCTCGGATTCTGCCAGTCATTTCTGCCAGTTCCATATAGTTCATCAGCTTCATCTGCCATTCTTCCAGAGTGGGTAGATCTTGTGTCTTCCAATACTTTGCAATGAGTATTCTTGCTGCTGTTGTGGCATACATAAAAAAAGTTCTATCCTTCTTTGGCACCAATTGGCCGACTATGCCCAGGAGAAAGGCCTCTGGTTTCTTCAAGAAGGTATATTTAAATACCTTTTTCAGTTCATTATATATCATTTCCCAGAAAGCCTTAATCCTTGGGCACGTCCACCAAAGGTGAAAGAATTTACCTTCAGTTTCTTTACATTTCCAACATTTATTATCGGGCAAGTGATAGATTTTTGCAAGCTTGACTGGGGTCATGTACCACCTGTATATCATTTTCATAATATTCTCTCTTAAAGCATTACATGCCGTAAACTTCATACCTGTGGTCCACAACTGTTCCCAGTCAGCAAACATAATGTTATGTCCAACATCTTGTGCCCATTTAATCATAGCAGGTTTCACCGTTTCATCCTGAGTATTCCATTTCAACAGCAAGTTATACATCTTTGACAAAATCTTAGTTTTGGGTTCTAACAGTTCTGTTTCTAATTTTGATTTTTCCACCTGGAAGCCAATTTTCTTGTCCAAATTATATGCCTCCATTATCTGATAATAATGAAGCCAGTCTCGAACTTTATTTTTTAGTTTCTCAAAACTCTGCAGTTTCAGTCTATCTCCATCTTGTTCCAAAATTTCCCAATATTTCGGCCAATTGGCCTCCATATTGAGCCTTTTCAGAGCTTTCGCTTCCATCGGTGACAGCCACCTTGGGGTTTTGTTTTCCAATAAATCTTTGTATCTTATCCAAACATTAAACAATGCTTTCCTGACAATATGGTTTTTAAATGCTTTATGCGCTTTGACCTTGTCATACCACAGATATGCATGCCATCCAAATACATTGTTAAAACCTTCTAGGTCCTGTAGTGGCCCCCTTCCCACCCCACCCGACTTACCAATGGAGCCCTGCCTACCTTGCCATTGTTTTGTTGCAGGCAAAAAAAAAAAAAAGTTTTCCAGGCAAGCACCAATGGCATGATTAGATTTTAGATTGCTAAATCTGTTTTTTAATATGTTTATGAAATTTTATTATTGCATTTTTTATTTTTTGAAAATTGCTTCAGGACTTGTGGGAAGCAATACATAAATTCAATAAACCCAACCTAAATCTTCATTTCCCTATTTTCTTTCTTTTTGCTAAATGTTACCATGGAGACTGCAATTTAAAGCAGAAGAAGACCAGTCTATGGGGAAAAGTCTCCTTAGCCCTTTTCAACATTATGGCTTATTTTGCAGGGTGGGGGGAGGAAATCATCCCCTTTAAGCTGATTTCCCAAGGTGCTTGGAAAGGAGAAAGGGATGGGTTACTCTGTCAGTTTGGGTTTCCCTCAGTCAACCCATTTCTCTAATCATAAACTTTCTTCTCCACATTTCCATATCAGATTGTAGGTTAAAAAAAAGTAACAATAAATGAATGAAAATTTATCAGCATTTTAGTGCAAAATTCTCCTAAGATACACATTTTGTACAATTTTATCTAATGCACATTTTTTGTAAAACAGTATGTTATTTTCACTAATGTGTGCGTTGTTATTCACACATTACCCTAGTACATGCAATTTTGAACATGTGAGAACTGCACTGCAAAATTTGGAAATTTTCAGATCTTGAAGGCTGACTGGGTTTCAATTTGCATATTGGATCAGAAAACACAGATTAGGTAGGTTTGCCTTTAACTGCAAAAATGAATTTCATTTCTCCCCCACCCCTAGGCAACCTGAGGCCAGAAAGCTACTTATAGCAGGTTGGGTCTATTGCTTTTAATCAAGGAGAGGCTGAAAACAATTTTCCAGTTCCTTCTGAGTTTTCCCAAAAAGTACTGAAATGAGGAGAGAGTAACACACAAACATGCCCTCTTCATTTGTATTCTGGATTGTCTGCCATCCCACTCCATCTGTGTGTGGCTGGTTTTTTTATTTTTTTAAAAAAGTCATGGGAGTCGTTTCATGCGCATATCAATTATCAACTTTAACCCTAAGATGTGCAGTGGCAACCTTAAACAAAGGGAGAGATTGGCTGTGGGGTGAGTTTAGCACACACACATCCTTGTTGAAAGACTAATTGAGGGAAAGTACAACAGAGCTTCAACTCTTTTAAGCATTGCATTATGTTCACTGACAGATTTCACTTGACAAAGGTGCTATGTTACCATGTTAAGCATATAATGGCTATGATGCTATTAAATTAATAGGAGCTGCACCAATGGCTATAACATATTAATGAGAAAGAGAAGGGAAATGAATGCATTAGCAGCAAACAAATGCAAGTACAATTTTCTAAATTCTTAATTTGGCCTTGAAAGTGTTCCGCCTCATCTGTTTCCTCAAATGAGAGCTCTCTAGCCATTACTCATTGTCTGGAGAGTTTTAAATTAACAACTTCATGCCAGCAGGATTAAAGCATTCAATAATGGCCAGGGCAAGGAGTGGGGAATGCTGTTGTGGATGTTTGTTGGTGTCTGAACTTTGTTACGAAGATCTATGGGGAGAAGATGTGCCGAGAAGTGTCCTTCTGCCACCCCTTGCTCCAAACATGGACATTTAATTTAAAGCAATTCTTCAAAGGAGTCGTCTGTCTTTTGACTGCCGTACGCCAGGCATTTACTTTGCAACAGCCTGGTGGGAGTCAGCAACCACCGTTCTGGACCAAACACTTTGGACATTTCAGTGAGAAATCCCTACCCGTGGGACATCCCTGTCATTTCTGGGAAGGGGTGAGAAACACCCCTGTCTGAAATACAAGCAACACAGAGCCAATAAATGTAGACCAGGGTAGGGAACTTCAGACCTGGGGCCAGATGCAACCAACAAATCCTCTCTGTATGACCCACAGGACCCTCCACAAGCCACACACACCCCTCACTAGTCCTGCTTAATGTCCATTTATCAGTGCTTTTGCCTGGCGGGAGTGTGTTGCTGAACTTTGATAATGTCTGTGAGAGATGTGTGTGGTTGTCAGGGTATAGAAACCTGGTAAAGGTAAAGGGACCCCTGACCATTAGGTCCAGTCGTGAACGACTCTGGGGTTGCGGCGCTCATCTCGCTTTATTGGCCGAGGGAGCTGGCGTACAGCATGACTAAGCTGCTTCTGGCGAACCAAAGCAGCGCATGGAAATGCCGTTTACCTTCCTGCAGGAGCATTACCTATTTATCTACTTGCACTTTGACGTGCTTTCGAACTGCTAGGTTGGCAGGAGCAGGGACCGAGTGACGGGAGCTCACCCCGTCACAGGGGATTCGAACCGCCGACCTTCTGATCAGCAAGTCCTAGGCTCAGTGGTTTAGACCATGGCGCCACCCGCTACCGACTGTCAAAGGTAAGAATCACATCCATAGTGCCACTCACCCAGCCAGATCCACAAGAAAGGTTCCCCAGAAAAACAAAGAATTAAAAAAGTTCCCTGGGTAGGCAATATGGAGCTAGCTGTCCCAATGCTCTGACTCTGTATAAGCCAGCTTCCCATGTTACTCTGGCCTTCTAACAACAAATCTTCCAGTGATCCTACAACTATGACACATGAATGAATTCCCTACACAGAGACTCCTGACCTTGGTTCTGAGCCCCACCTTCCATCTGACTAGTCTCATTTGTTTCCCAGTGCTCTGTATGCAATACATTTGGCCGACTACATCTCTCTGAGTGTAGCTGATATATCAGTAGTCCAAGTTATGGTGCATATTAATTGAAAGCTAATACTATGTTTAGATAATAGTAATACTTAAGCACATAACATCTTCAACGTGCTGTACAAACATTAACTAATTAGTACCCCCAACACTCCACTGAGGTGTGTAATTATGTGCATTATTAGAGCTGGTGGAATTATTCCTTATGAATAAATTAGCCAGCAGAATTGGCTTTTTTCCCTATTCAGAAATTTGTATGAATCCCAGCCTAATATTATTTTCTCTCTTTGGTTTAGGAATTGTATCGTGAGCAGACCAGCTAGATTAGCTTGCCCCGACCTGATGGCCTTCAGATGTTTTATACTAGAACTCCCATCAGCCCCTGCCATCATGGTCGGGAATGAAGAAAGTTGTGGTCCACAACATCTGAGGGCAAGTTGGGAAGACTGACCTAGATTTGGCCCAGATTTGATCCTTGTATGAAGATCAGAACATCTATGTGGGTGGGCAGAGTGTGTCCTTGAAAAAATGGTTTTCCAACAAGGTGACAGAAATGGCCATTCATTAATGATAGGGTTGAGTGACACAACACCATGCATGAAGCGTCTGTCCAAGAATTTGGTATACAGTGGTACCTTGGGTTACATATGCTTCAGGTTACATACACTTCAGGTTACAGACTCCACTAACCCAGAAATAGTGCTTCAGGTTAAGAACTTTGCTTCAGGATGAGAACAGAAATCGTGCAGCGGCAGTGCGGCGGCAGCAGGAGGTCCCATTAGCTAAAGTGATACCTCAGTTTTAGGTTAAGAACAGGCCTCCGGAACGAATTAAGTACCATATTTTTTGCTCGATAAGACTCACTTTTTTACCTCCTAAAAAGTAAGGGGAAATTTGTGTGCATCTTATGGAGCGAATGCAGGCCACACAGCTATCCCAGAAGCCAGAACAGCAAGAGGGATCACAGCAAGAGCGATTCCTCTTGCTGTTCTGGCTTCTGGGATTCAGAATATTTTCTTTCTTGCTTTCCTCCTCCAAAAACTAGGTGTGTCTTATGGTCTGGTGCGTCTTATAGAGCGAAAAATACGGTGCTTAACCCAAGGTGCCACTGTATATGGAATGTTCTTAATCTGATTTATGTCCCTGGAGAATGAGTAGACTGGTCCATTTTATACATACATAATTGTATTTTGTATGCCACCTTTCCATAGCTAAAACCATGCTTAAGGTGGGTTACACCGGGGGGGGGGGGGTTGACCATAATAATTACAAACATAACAAAGTAGTCATAAACAATAACTAAAACATCAAAAGTACTCAACCAAATTAAACAGTTTCCACATACATCATAAGAAGATCTAAAATAAAGATGCAAAATATTATTATCAAAAACAGCAACTACCTCCCCCCTGCAACAAACCCCCTAAACAATACTCGAACCCAAGAGTCTGTTCAGCAGCCTCAGCTTTCGTAGGTGGAGTCAGTCAGGGCACCACCATCACAGGCCAGGTGGCAAAAAGACCTGCAAGGCAGGGAACAGGTCTTCCAGGACTCACAGTCAAGACTTTATGCATTCCATCAAATTACTATGCATATTTTTTTTTGGCAAAATCTCTAGTGCCTTGGAGCACCTAGGAAGTGTCCTGCTTGCCACACATGCTGAACAGTTTTAAGTAAAAGAAGCTTCTGGAAGCGACAGTGCATTATGATGTGCCACTGCTTCCCTAGCAGTTGTACACACAAAAGGACAGCTGCCCCCACATACCACCGCAACAGAGAATAATGCAAGCCTGAGACCCTCAAAAGGATGTACAAGTGGAAAGGTTTGTAGACGTGCAAAATAATTCACGTCTTCATTCTGATCTGTGCACAATCCATCAAATGCAAACTGGGAAGGTTCACTCCAAAGTGCAGAGTGAACCATAGTCCTTCATCCCTAACTAAAAGTAGCTGAAACTCCACCTGACTGAAAATAGTAGTGAGCATACCATAATACCCTCTTGCAATGAGTTACCTGGGGCTAGGGAGGATGAGAAGAGAAAGTAAGCCTTTGGAACAAGGGCTGTAATTTTCTTTTGTGGAACTGGGTTCCAAGGTGGTTTCCTACCCAGGCCCAGCCTTACTTAGCTAAGTTTAGCCCTGTGCCATAGTATGTATTTGTATTATTATTTTTTTCTTGCATCAGCAGTTAATAATAGCCCAGAAGTAGGTGGGAGTAGACCAGGACATCCCTGTGCAATAGAAGTTATTGATGACATGGTAACTTAGATCACACAAACAGCACCCATTCTTTAGGCAGGCATGCCAGGATTTATCTCAGGATTTATCACCTGTTCATCTGAGAATGACTGTGGTTTGCAGGGATTAAATGCCTTACATAAATGAAGTCAGTTCATGGAAGATGGCTTCGTGTGGAGGGACCCCAAAATTGAAAGGGACTGAACAATGGCTTTAAGGGGGAGGTAGTAGATGTAGTCAAGATGGTATGATTAATGTTTATGCCTGCAATCTTTTTTGGATCTACCTGACCATGGATTTTGACATATAAGCAAAAGCAAACATCTGAACTGCACGTGAACACAATGATAAAAAGAACATTTGAGTCAGAACAAATAATGAGGACTTGCCCTTCACATACAGAGATTTATTTGGCTCAAATTATAACATTCTCCATCTACTTGCTTGGATTTGTAGTTCTATTATACTTTTCTTGTCTTCTGATTTTTCCACATTGTGTGCTATATTCCCTCCCCTATTAAACTGAGGCTTCTGTTTAAACTCAAGAGTACATTTCCTAAGATAAATAAATAAATGTTGTTAGAATGCAGAACAAACAGATCTTCAAGGATTATATAGCTTTTCGGGGGGGTGTAGTTTATTTTACACGTAGTCCCCCCCACCCCCGCCACCCACACCAATCCGTATTGCAAAGAAAGTGAGAAAATGGGCTCCATAGAGCAGCATTGTGTATCTGGGAAGACCCGGAGAGATTATTATAGCAGGCAACACTGGGATCGTTAGGGTAACCATAGCAACCCAAATCCTTTTTTATATACTTTGTGGTGAATTCTTTCAATTTTGTTGCCTTTCTTGTCAAATGCAATGAATTTCTAAATTTGCACTTGCAACATGCATTTCAAATTTAGTTTCGGCGAGTCTGACGAAGATTGATTTTAATGATGTTCCTTTAAAAGGGAGAAAAAGAAAAAGAAAAAGAACATGGGGAATAAGACTAGAGGAGCAGCAAACTAAACTTTTACAGAACCCAGCTGCATCTCATGTGGACAATATACTAAGCAGTCTTGTAAAGAGCCCCAGAAAAGGTCCCAGCCTGCAATAAAATTAAGTTAAAAGAGCCTACTGCAAGGCCAATAGCCTGCATTTTCATGCAGGCAACTGGGGAGAAGAAGTCCTATCCACCATGCCCAGCATGGAAACACAAGCTTTCGGCCTCTTGGCCAGAATAAGTACAAGAATTACGGAAATTCTGGGTCCCTTTGGCTACTGGGCAAGTTGTTAAATGTTACAAAGCTGGAAGATATATTTTTGCAAGGTATACAAAAATCTTAGTTTCAACCGTACATCCTAGGACTTTTGAGGGGATATAAGACCTGGAAAATACTTAGGACAGATGGGTTGACTGGCTCCTTGAAGCTGCAAGTTCTCCTTGAGTTATGCTACATTTCTGACCATTCTCAAAAAGCATGTTGGTGTGCTTGTTTTGATTGGCTGTTTGTTGTTGTTGTTGTTTAGTCGTTTAGTCGTGTTCGACTCTTCGTGACCCCATGGACCAGAGCATGCCAGGCACTCCTGTCTTCCACTGCCTCCCGCAGTTTGGTCAAACTCATGCTGGTAGCTTCGAGAACACTATCCAACCATCTCATCCTCTGTCGTCCCCTTCTCCTTGTGCCCTCCACCTTTCCCAACATCAGGGTCTTTTCCAGGGAGTCTTCTCTTCCCATGAGGTGGCCAAAGTATTGGAGCCTCAGCTTCATGATCTGTCCTTCCAGTGAGCACTCAGGGCTGATTTCCTTCAGAATGGAGAGGTTTGATCTTCTTGCAGTCCATGGGACTCTCAAGAGTCTCCTCCAGCACCAGAATTAAAAAGCATCAATTATTCGGCGATCAGGCTTCTTTATGGTCCAGCTCCCACTTCCATACATCACTACTGGGAAAACCATAGATTTTACTATACGGACCTTTGTTGGCAAGGTGATGTCTCTACTTTTTTGGCTGTTAGGATGTATTAAATCGTAAAGGTGGAACTCAAATATGAAATGGGTGTATTAGAATTTAGCAGTAAACTTGATAAAATTCATTTCAGACTCAAACAGCTGAAGGCCCTGTTGTCTCAAGGGTCCTACTGGTAAGATGATGTTTGCCCCTCAACAGCTATTTGCCAGCAAGCAGCCTGTTAATTTTTGCCTGGAAACGTAAGAACGTAGGAAGCTGCCCGATAATGAGTCAGATCATTGGTCCATTTAGCTTAGTATTGCCTACACTGACTGGCAGAGGCTCGCCAGGATTTCAGGCAGAGTTCTCTCCCAGCCCTACCAGAAGATGCTGGAGATTGAAGAGGCCTGCCATGTACCACTGAGTTACAGCCTGCCTGACACACCATAACCCTGGACTTTGACAGATTAGGAGGCACCTTTATTCTTTTTAGGGACACGGGTGGCGGCGTGGGTTAAACCACAGAGCCTAGGGCTTGCCGATCAGAAGGTTGGCGGTTCGAATCCCCGCCACAGGGTGAGCTCCCGTTGCTCGGTCCCAGCTCCTGCCAACCTAGCAGTTCGAAAGCACGTCAAAGTGCAAGTAGATAAATAGGTACCACTCTGGCGGGAAGGTAAATGGCGTTTCCATGGGCTGCTCTGGTTCACCAGAAGTGGCTTAGTCATACTGGGCACATGACCTCGAAGCTGTATGCTGGCTCCCTCAGCCAATAAAGCGAGATGAGTGCCACAACCCCAGAGTCGTCCGCGACTGGACCTAATGGTCAGAGGTCCCTTTACTTTTACCTTTTATTCTTTTTTAAAAAAATATTCTTGGTGTTGTATTAAATATTGATTTTATCCAATTTAAAATTATATCATTGTTTTGTTGTAACCTGCCTTGGGAACCTTAAGGTGAAAGACAGGTGAGAAATCCTATCAATAAATTAATACTTTGGGCTGTATCAAACATTCTTTGTCCACTAGGACAAGGGCACTAGCGGAAACTAATTATGCAACAGATTTCACAATCTGTAGCGTAATAAAGTTACCAGAAACCTGCTTATGCATTCTGTTGCACAACAATGTTCTACTAGAACAAAATGTTCTGCTGGTATAACCAAGTATACTGTAACTCTCAGGGAATTTAACTTAGAGTTGCATTAGACACAGCCACTTGCTTTTCATCTTTAAAAAAATACCTATGTTGGTGTGGGATTCCTACTGAGAACGCAATGTGTGGGGAATGGGAACTTTTTCTTCTGGGGACGGGCGGAGGGAGGTGCAGATTGGGAATCTCCATTCTGGTCACAATGAGAAAGGGAAGAAATAAGCCTCTCCATTTCCTGTCTTCACAGCCTCCCACATTTATAATCATTTAATGAAAAACAATATATGTAGCTGTATGGTACACATTAAGGAAAGATCAAAAATTGTATCCACTATGAGTCCTATTCAGAGTAGACCCACTGAAGCTAATAAGCAAGACTAACTTAGATGTGTTAATTTCATTGAATCTAATCTAAGTATAATTTAACTGGGAGGAACCCCAAGTTGGGCCCTTGGGTAGAAATGTAAGTACTTCAATAATCAGACCACTAAACGAAGAAAATAGATAAACGGAAATCCCGTTTGCACTTCACGCATCTTTGCATTTCAACAATAGATTGGAAGCAAATGTATGCAAGGTGCAGGGATTCCTCTGATGCGCACAGCATACATCTTCTAAGTATAATGTTGATTAAAAAAAATACTCTGAATTGAGACTAGACAACTTCTATTTTACTAATGTAACATAGGAATCATACTTTAGCAGAGTCTGGGTGATTTTGCATTCCTGACATGAGGCAACTGAAATTGGATTTCTGTCACTTTTCATCTAAATAAAATCATCTTCTCATCTGCAATATTTGCTTTTTTGCTAACTGGTCAAATACGATGTGGTTAAATGAGAAACTCTCTCAGCTGGCCAGCACTTTCATGCCTAAATGAAGACCCTTCCAATAGTGACAGTATGGATCAAAGGATTTCAGTTGCAGAGCCAGCTTTCAGATGTCCCACAAGAAAGTTTCCTTTTTGATGTTTCTAAGAACCAGCAATCAGATGTGGAATGAGGGCTCCCTAAGGATTTTTTCCCCAGTCTGGATTTTACGCCTTGCCTTAAGACCTTGTTTCCCTGCAGCCTTACCTTATCAAATGCCTCAATCAACATCTGCTCACCCACAACTTGGTTCAGTGACATGTCATCTGAGGCTCCGGAGTCAGTGTTCTCATGACTGGGGGTGGGGAGCAGTCAAAATGCCATTTTCAACAAACTCCACTAGAGTCTCAAGAGTGGCCTTGAGGCCTGTTATCTCCCACACTTCCCAAAATTCCTTCAAGCGTGTGCCGAGATAGAAAGCAATGATCCCATAGAGCCTCCCACAGTTCAGCCTGTTAGGATTTCATGCTCCCTGATGCTGATTTTATGTTTGGTATATTTCACACGCCTGTCTGAGTGGAGCCTGAGAAAGGAAGGCTGTCTTCTCTCTCTTCCGGTGTGAGTCTGTGAAACTGTACTTTCACTTTTATGCTGTGTTGTTTGTTCTCGGAGCTGGAGAGAACAGACGCCATAATGCTGTTGTCTGTAAATATTCTGTAAATAAATAGTAGTTTACAATGCCTCTTTCCTTTTGCTGTGTCAAGAGAGAAGGCTAGTGTGCATAAATCAAGTTGGTTTATGTCGCTGGAGCGCCCTGGAGAAGAAGGGGATGCCTTTTCCAGAGCTATGCTCACCAGAGGACACTCGAAGATCTGGGGGGCTGCAGTTAGCCCGGAGCGCTCTCCCAACACAACCCCCCCTTCACCTGAGTTTCTGTGGCAGGGGCCTCTTTGCCTGCAGCCGGCATAGTTTTAGCCTTTGGGGGTTGGTATTGCACAGGGTCATTGAAAATGTCACCATGAAGGGCTGGGTCCATGGACCAGTTTAATCATCTCATCAGCAGTGGCAGCATCAGACCTGTCCCCTGCAGCAAAGTGATCCATACGGAAACCAGAGCTGTCAATACTGTCAAGAGAACCCACATGTTGATCTGGCAGTGGCTGATTTACATCCAGCCTCCTTGTGTTTGCTGTTTCATTCCCGGTTGATATGTTGTTACCTGTACCATAAAAGTCCAATATAGATTTCTGCTGCTGACAGTCGTCCTGAGACTTTCTGAGGGGCAGGGTGGACCCCACATGCCTGGGCATGGGTGAGAACCATCCTGCCCTTTTGTGAGCCTTTTATGTACTGCCATATTTTAAGCAAACTGACCTGATTCACATTTTGTGCTCTACTACGTGGATTGGAACACAGTTATCATGTGTACTACCCTGAATGTTGTGATTCACTTCTCAGTTCAAAAAAACTTAACCAGAATGCATATAAAAATGTGCACGTTAGTTTAAAATGCAAATTTTTGGATAAAATGCATACAAAAATACATATTCTAGGGCAGAAAAATGTGTATTGGGGGGAAGGAGTGTGAAATATAATGCTGATTTTAATCAACTTTTAAAATAAAATAAAATAATGCAGAGTGATGCCGAAATGTGATGGAACAGACGTATGAATGAGCACGTGAAATTGGCACAGACTTGAAACAGACTTATCTGCCCACTCCTCTTACACATCTGACTAGTCCTGCTTCATTGTAATGTCTAGTGTTAGAGGACAGGAATGTCTGGATCCTATATAGCTCCTTAGGGTCACTGAAGTGTGATCCACTTCCTTAACTTAGTGTGCTGTAGCCGTTGGAATGTTAGGACTAGATTTAGCCAACAAATCCCATTCATGGAAGCTGCTCAAGGACTTCCACTAGTGCAGTGGGGATTTTACATCTTCTCCTCCCCTGTGCACCCCCCTTTGGCTCCTGTGTGTGTGTGTGTGTGTGTGTGTGTGTTAGGAGAACCCACAAAACAACATACAGGGATCATTCCATCTGTAAAGCTGAAATTACATTGTTCATAGAATGAACAGTGCTGTGTTGAATTCCTCCCCTTAGACTGGAACCCAGAAGGCCAGGGTTAAAATTGCTGCTCAGCAATGAAGTGTGTTGGGTGTCTCTTAGCTCCCTCTTTCCAAGAGGAATGTTGGGTTATTTGCAGTTTTGCTGCTTTTCAAATCTTGGGTCACAAAATCTTAACACCCCATCTTAAAGTGTGGTACAGTTGAGAGAACACAATTACAGTTATGTTTTCTTTCATTTCCTGCAACAAATTAATTTCATTTAAAGGGGGTGGGGTGGGGGAAACCAAAGAAACATTTATATAGAAAACTATTGCAGAAAGGCAGAATAAGAGCAAAAGCCCACCAGAAAGCCCTGCCTGGTGCTTCGAAGAGCATAATTAATAAAGGCTAGTCTTTTAGTGTTTAAACTCCCATTTGATTTTGTAGGGGGAAAAAATAAATAAATCCTTAACTATCCTAAAGATCTTCTGTGATAAAAAATTCATAAAAGTGATTGGTGTTGGCCAAGTGGAAATGGAACTGAACAGCACTATGCAAAGGTCACATTAATTAAAGGAAGCGACTCGGCAGACATATTTCATGCCTGTTTCATGCTAACAGAGCTGTCGAAACGCATCAAGTCAAAGCACTGCTCTAGAAGGCTCATGGTCTACATGGGAATTGTGGAATACATGAGCCCCGTTTCAGTGTTCTGCGTGGTGCGAAAGAAAAGAGAGGTGTTTTGCATGTTTAGTATGTGCCTGCCCCCTCAGCCCAGTGCCAGCCCCTTTCCCACACCAAGGGTGTTCACACATTACATTCAGTGACTACGTATACACAATAGCAGAGCTCTACAAATAAAGAAGAGTTTTTTTCACACAAACACTTGTACCTGAGTTCAGCACAAGTCTAAACAGTTGAGCTGCACACTCTCACGGTGATTCAAACATTTAAAAAGTATATGGTCTGTGTGGTGTTGCTGGGGGAAGTGGGGAACTTTGAAAGCAACTCAAAAGGGGATATTTTAAAGGTCTAACAGCCTCTATATTCACACCTTACTTTGCTGCATATTCTGTGATTTTAAATCTCTGCTAGGGTTCTCTCACCCAATAGAGCTTGCCCCAAACCTGGATCTTGGCATCCAGGAAATTCTCCTTTTTATATCTATTTTTCATTGCCACTAACAATCCCCAGCCACTGGCATTCAGAGGTATACTGACTCTGATACTGGGGGAATTATTTGGGCATTATGTCTTGTAGCCATTGATATATTTCCATTCATATTCATGGAGGATAATGCTAACACATGCGTAATATGTATTCACCTGGCTGGTGTATACATTATGTTGCTTGCATTTGATTTAATTTAATTTTTACTCTACACAACTGATTTACTCTTAGCTATTTATGCCTGGTCTCTAGATTATTCTAGGAGTTGGTTGGAGATTTTTGTGAGCAGATTATCTGCTTCTTAGATGTATCAAATTAAAGCTAGTTGCTGTGTTTGGCAGACTATAGAGATGAATGGGAGCCATGAAATAAAATATACTGGCCCCAATTCAGCTTCAGGCATATGCATGTAAAATTACTCTTCCATGCATGGTAAATGAGGAACTTCATGAGCACTATTCATTTTTTCAACTTCAATTGATTTTGATATTACTGATACAATATTTTATAATGAGTTTCAGAATCATTGCAATAGAATAGTGGAGCATTTTAAAATAACAACCAGCCACATGCAAAACCTAGTCTTGTAGGGAATGGGCATTTCTAGAACTAATCCCCATTTCCTTGCTGTAATAATAATAAAAAACAATAGATTTTTTTTTTGTTACAAACCCTTAGTGCCTGATAGCTTATTCAATAATGCTTTAAAATGTGCTTGGTTCCTGTTACATTTTTATTAATGCATGGATCATACAAAAAAATGAGAGTCAAAGCTGCACAGAATTTCATTCTCAAATGAATTATATCATTCTTATTTTTTATTTTTTTTAAGCAAGGACTGAGACGTTATTGGTTTCGTAATTTTCTTTTTATGATGAATAGTGGTTAAAAAGTGCTGGAACTGCTCCTGGCTTAAACTGTTTTAAATGAGCATTATAAAAGCAAAGCACTTCTGTGTGGTGAGGGCATAGGAACTAGTGGGGGTGCTAGTGGCAGTATTTATGACCCCTCTTGAAAGGGAGCCTTGGAGAGAGAGAGAGAGAGAGAGAGAGAGAGAGAGAGAGAGAGAGAGGTCATGTGCTTTGGACAGGGCTGATTCTTAAATGGAAACTTTTCCAGCCCTTTCATTTGACAAGGGTAAAGGGAGGTACTCTGGTCTACATGGTGGTGGGATCCTAAAGTCAGGGCTTCAGGGAGACAATACCAATTCCAGTTTCCTACTGAGTATAAATGCATGTTTTTTGTCTTTGCAAATTACCTAAAATATGTTCAGATATGCCTTAAAAATGCATTGTGTAAAGCAACTCACTTTGCTAGTTCAGAAGTCAAGTGATTAAAGAGAGGTGCAATATGTGATTAACACTTCAACCAATTAATCATACCTATTAATCAATTGAAAGCTCACAGGCTTAATAAGAATAACAATGAACTTTAAATGTAGCTTGCAAGGAAAAAAGTATACCTACCAGGCAATAAATTCTTTAAACATTCCTCCCTGCTGACCATGTCCACCAAGATTTAGCATCTTAGTTTTAAGCACTGGCGTACCTCCCTGCAAAGCTGGATAATGTTAAAGTGCCATTTTGAGCATAAGGCACACCCTGATTCCACTTTTCATGGAAATGTTTTGTTACTCACAGAGATTATGTAATGTGAATAGCTAATGCACATTTACAAACATCCATGTGCTCATGCTGTGGAGCCTTGATTGACCAGAAATCCTCAGCATGTGTGTTAAGATACGTGCAGCTGATGTTCAGATAGCATAATGTTTGATTATAAAATGCATTGTTACAATATGTCGTACTGGCCACCGGTAGGGCTGGCCAGTGTGAGGCATCTGCCTAAGATAGCAAACATGAAGGAACGACAGTGAGGTTCTGGAAAACAGGACATGTCTGTGTATCCTCTAAGAAAGCCTGCTGCCCTCAGGTGTGGTGTCCCCTCAGCAGTGCTGAACTATATGGAATGAGAGGAGGCTTCTGCATATGCACTAGGAAGGTTGCCATCTTGTCCTTCACTCAGGAAGCAAAATGTCTTGGACAGGCCCTGACTACTGGGTTAGATGACCTCAGAAGGGTGAACAGACAAATTCTCAGAGGATATTTCAACAAAAAGCAAATGACAACACGCAGTGCATTGCATGCAGTAGGTCGCAGTTACAATCTCTGGGATCTCACAGTAGGCTGGGAAAGACTTCTGTCTAAACTGGAGTCATGTGTTATGTACAAAAGGCCTCTTGAAATTATCCCCTGTATTAGTGGACAGAGGTAATCATTTCATTACATATCTGCAGAAAGAGGAGCAGTTCTCCAAGAGGATCTAAGGGTGGTGCTCACCATTACAGTGGTACCTCGGGTTACATACGCTTCAGGTTACAGACTCCGCTAACCCAGAAATAGTGCTTCAAGTTAAGAACTTTGCTTCAGGATGAGAACAGAAATCGTGCTCTGGCGGTGCGGTGGCAGCAGGAGGCCCCATTAGCTAAAGTGGTGCTTCAGGTTAAGAACAGTTTCAGGTTAAGTATGGACCTCCGAAACGAATTAAGTACTTAACCTGAGGTACCACTGTAGCTTCTTTTTAAAAATTTAAATTAAGAGCAGAAGCAGCACCAAAGACCATGTTGGCAGCATGGCCACAGTTTTGTGTGTGAAAATGAGAACTGCCACAAACAAAAAATGGTGGAGGGTATTTTGGAAGGGTTCTGCAAATGGGTGAGAAAAAGAAAAATCTCAAATTTTCTCAGAAATTATCCCCCCTCCCATAACATTTTTTTTCAGCTCTAATCTGAACACAAGAGCCTTGGCAGATCAGCATATAAATCTATCTAGTTCAGCATACTGTTTCTCACAGTGATCAACCATATGCTTATATGGAACTCCCACAAGAAGAAGAAGAAGAGAAGAGTTTGGATTTGATATCCCGCCTTTCACTCCCTTTTTTTTAAGGCGTCTCAAAGCGGCTCACATTCTCCTTTCCCTTCCTCCCCCACAACAAACACTCTGTGAGGTGAGTGGGGCTGAGAGACTTCAGAGAAGTGTGACTGGCCCAAGGTCACCCAGCAGCTGCATGTGGAGGAGCGGAGACGCGAACCCGGTTCCCCAGATTACGAGACTACCGCTCTTAACCACTACACCACACTGGCTCTCACAAGCAGCAGTCCTGCTGGTTTTTCTTCAGTGACTAGTACTCAGAGGCATGCTGAGTATTAGGCAAATTGGACCCTTTGGAGGTATATAACCATGTAACTGGTGGTCAGTGATAGCCTTATCTTAATCCCTGTTAAAGCCGTCCAACCTGGTGGCTATTACTACATCTTGAGGTAGAAAATTCCTATCTTCCTAATGGCAGCCAACCATGAAAGTTCAATAAAAACATCCCTATCCTGAGGCAGTATGCTGAATTGTTGATTGCTGAACAATGGATTGCTGCTGCATTGAAGTCATGCTTGTGGGCTTCCCATAAACACCTGGATGGCCACTGAGAATGGACTGCTGGATCAGATGAGACACTGGCTTGTGATCCACGAGACAGTCACCTCCAGACAGGATTATTGTAACTCACTCTACATGGGGCTGCCCTTGAGACTGACCCAGAAACTCCAGCGGGTGCAGAATGCCGTGGTGAGACTCCTTACGGGATCACATTCACCCGGTGCTATACCAGCTGCACTGGCTCCCGGTGGAGTACAGGATCAGGTTTAAAGTGCTGGTTTTAACCTTTAAAGCCTTATATGGCCTAGGACCCTCAAACCTACGGGACCGCCTCTCCTGGTATGTCCCACGGAAGACCCTACGGTCTTCAAACAAAAACGTCTTGGAGGTCCCAGGCCACAGGGAGATTAGGCTGGCCTCATCCAGAGCCAGGGCTTTTTCGGCTGTGGCCCCAATCTGGTGGAACTCTCTGTCACAAGAGACTAGGGCCCTGCGGGACTTGACATCTTTCCGCAGGGCCTGCAAGACAGAGCTGTAATCCTCACAGAACTCTAGCCCAATGGTTGCCATTAATTTGATTTTGAATTGATTTTAAAATGAATTGATTTTAGAATGCTGTGTTACTTTTATTGTTGTTAGCCACTCTGAGCCCGGCTTCGGCTGGGCAGGGCGGGATATAAATAAAATTTTATTATTATTTTTTATTATTTAGCTGGCCCTTCATATATTCACATCGCAGGCGGACATTGTTTCAGTGGTACCCTATTCAAGACCCAAATTTGGTGCCCCCTCACATCTTGCCTTCTGTTCTCCATGTTCACTACATCATAGTTGTGACACCCTGTGGTACCCCCTCAGCTTGGCACCCAGTGCAGGGGAACCAGTCACACTCCCCTAAATCCGCCTCTGTTCATAGAATCAAAGACTCACAGAGTTGGAAGGGACCGCCAAGGGTCATCTACTCCAACCCCCTGCAATGCCCATATATATTGGGCCACTGAGTGATAGAAGATGTTGGGGCTAGTCTGATTCATTGGGGCACCTTTTATATCCATGTTATACACCTGTGCTGCAGGTAACACCATGAGTAGCATGGCCATAGTGTAAAATGTAAATGGCTGGGTTGTTGAAATATTTCCTAGCTGTTTCTTTGCCGCTAACTCTCCAATATTCTAAAAGCTATTCTTATCCAAACGGAATATAAATCATTTACATGAAGTTTTACAGACACACAAACGTGAAAAATCTTCTGCTGCTGTTAAATGGGATGAACCATTTGTGCTTCACATAGATAGGGGGACATGCTGTGCCCCCATCTTTCATTGCTCATTAGGAAGATCACTGCAAAAGTCATTTTGAAGTCTATTGCTTCTGCACTCTGTCATCTGCATTACACAGTTTTGTTTGCACCATTTTCTTATTAGAACAATACCCACAAAGACAGAAACAAAACACAAGATGGAGCAAGATGGCAGGAAACACATCACAGCTAGTCAGTTTCAATTTTCACGTCAAATGTTGCCCATTTAACAAAGTAGAACTTGTAAAAAAAAAAAAAAGTGATGCATTTGGGGACTGTTAAAGGGAAGCATCTTCTCAGCGTTGGAGCTGGAGAATTCCCAGGCAAGCTCTGAAAGAACCTGGGTGGAGAAGCTCCACAGCCTCAACTGAGCCTCAACAAGCCCTACAAGGACACGGAGCGGCTAATGTCTATTCCATCCCCCTGAAAATAAAACCAGATTGTTCAGTAGTTTAAGCTTGCACCATTCTACATTCTTTTCTTTCCCATTTCTTAGCAGATTTCAATTAATTGTGAACTTGTCTGGATTTAAAAAGGATCCCACAGGGCATCACAAGAATGTAAGAAGCTGCTTTATACTGAGTCAGACCATTGGTCTAGCTGGCTGTGTATTGTCTTGGCAGCTGCTCTCCAAGGTTGGAGATGCGAGGGACTCAACCTGAGGCCTTCTGCATGCAAAGCAGATGCTCTGAGCCAGTGTGGTGTAGTGGTTAAGAGCGGTGGACTCGTAATCTGGTGAACCGGGTTCGATTCCCCGCTCCTCCACATGCAGCTGCTGGGTGACCCTGGGCTAGTCACACTTCTCTGAAGCCTCTCAGCCCCACTCACCTCACAGAGTGTTTGTTGTGGGGGAGGAAGGAAAAGGAGAATGTTAGCCGCTTTGAGACTCCTTTGGGTGGGTGGTGATAAAGCGGGATATCAAATCCAAACTCTTCTTCTTCTTCTTCTCTGAGCCACAGACCTTCCCACCTGTGTTGCAGCGCCACAGAAAGTGAGCCCCTTGCTCCAACAAAGGCTAGTGGTAGACTGAGGACTTCTGAGCTCCGCCCACAGCCCACCTCTCCTAGGCGCCACTCCCTTTGTGGGAACTGCTATCCTTAAAGGGATAGCCTCTGACCTAAGTCCTTCTTTGACCTACATCTGGCTTCTCCTCCCTGGCATCCTCTTCAGTGTGTTCCTTCTGCCATGGCAAGACACTCACTTCCTTGGGCTCAGGGGAACAAACCTGTAAGAGCCTCAGCTGTGGTTCTACAGGCCTGGTGTTGTTGGATCTGGTCCAGATTGTTCCTAGCTGCTAGCACTATGCTTAGTGCCCCAACCCCGGTCACTAGAATCAGGCTCAGTGTCAGGAAACCAGTTTGTATCTTTAGTCAGTGAATCTGATGTCTTTGGCTTGGCATCTTGATCTCTGCTGGACTCTGAGGCCACGGCAGTTAGGGATACTTGGGGGATTTGATTCTTGTGAATTCTGAGGTGAAGTGACCTGACCTCATACAGAGCTCCCAGAGTACTGCGTGGAATAGTACCTTTTTTCCCTTTTAGGTTACAGTTTGCTTATTTTTCTTACTCAATTCTCAGCTCAAGAATAGGTACCAAAAAGTGTTGAAATGCATATTTTAGGATAAAAAACAATTAGAAATAAATAACATCTATAAATGGGCATTTTGAGATTTAGATATGTATTCAGTGTTGGTCATTTGTTTTGTATCTTGTGATTTTTTAAATCTCATGATGTTTTAAATCATTTAATTATGCACCCACATTTATTTATTTTTTGTTTTGCTTATGAGTTGTTTGCTTATAAATATTAATCATTCACATCTGTATCTATATCTAAACCTATGTAACCATAGGCAGGCTGGAAACAGACTGCTCTGCCCACTCCTAGCATGGACTGCCTTTCTTTAAGCGCCATAAATCCTCATGGCCAGTTCAGACATAAGCCCATACTGGTCCATTAGGGCAAGTGGGGGCATTACCCTGCCACCCCAGTCAGTCTTCACTGGCCTGCTTCCTTACTTGCAACCAGGCCAGTGGGTAACAATGCCTGCCAGGGTTTCCCTTTAGAACTCAGTAGGGATATTTGGGGTGTGTGTGTTAAAACTAACATTCGTTGACTGCCTGTCATTGGCTCTGGATGCACCTGCTGCTAGCCTTTCTGCCTTCCTCCCTAGCAGTTTCAATAGGCACCAGCCACCACCGTATCAGTCTCAACTAGGCATATTTCCTTTTCAGCTACCCACACACCTCACCTTGGTTGTAGGAGGGTGTAACTGGTAATTTCTAGGAGTCTGTAGTGAATTTTGTTTAACAACAACAACAACAACAACAACAACAACAACACTCACGGGGTTTGTTGCTAGAAATCAAGCATTTTACAATTTGAACTACTCCCCCTCTCCCCCCTGCCAAGCCTAGTAGAAAAGCCATTAATGGTAAAACAACACACACAAAAAACACACAAATTAAAAATGGAGAGAACAACTCCATTTTTTAATTGAGTGATTATAAATTTTGCTCATAGCTAATACCCGCAGGCCCATATATTAAATGACATATCATGGAGCACATCTCCTAGAGCTCAGCTGCAAGATTATCTATAGTACATGACTTAATAACTACAGTATAGAAATCACAGGGAAGGGAGAGATTTCAGGAACATGACAACGTCCTTAAATAGAATTTTGAAGCCATGTTCAAAATATCTCCTTCTAATTAGCAGAGAAAGAACTTCCATATGTTCGATCTCAAGCAAGCCTATTGAAATGGATGGCAATGGCAAAGGAGGATTTGTTTAGAAGGATTTTGCTCCGTTAAAACTACAAAGCAAAAAGATTTGGAAGGAAACAGCAGATTCAAACGTGGCAGGTTTACTTAACAGGGCTTTCCTAAAAACATTCCCTGCTTCTCACTCTTATGAGTGTGAGAGCTAATTCCAGGGTATTTCATATTCTACCAAAGAAGGAAAAGTATGGGGGAGATGAACTCTATAGTCAAATCTAAAATCTGCACTTGGAAATTGTGTGCTATCCCTGAACCTGATGGTTGAGATTTAGCAACATTTAATATATTTATATTTGCAAAGAAGCAGAGGAAGGGATGAAGGTTGCCTGGTAGACAGAAACCCTGATACAGCAATGGCAAGCTATGCATGGAAGCAGGAATCTGCACATAATCCCAAAAAATCATAAACCAAAGAAGGAATGAAGGGGACACTGAATGAAAAAAACAACAATGGAATCCTGGACTTGTTAGGATCAGAGTGGATACAGTGGTACCTCTGGTTATGAGCTTAATTCCTTCTGGAGGTCCGTTCTTAACCTGAAACTGTTCTTCTTTTTTTTTTAATAATATTTATTAAAGTTTCAAAGAAAAGATTACATAAATAAAAAGAGAAGAAAAAAAGAAAGAAAAAAAAGAAAAAAAATACAAAGTACAGAAAAAAGATAAAAAACACTTAAAAAACACATCAATCTTTCCATGCCTTACATTTCATTTCCTTGCTTCCCTGACCTCCTCACACCTCCCTTTTTTGTATTCCAGTTCTATTAGTTAATTCAGCAATTCCTTTCCCTCTTTGTTTTTGTCTTAATCCTTTAACTTAATATATGATAACTTTGGATTCTCACCTGTTAACAATCCATTTTTACATACACCTTTATAACATTGCTGCTAAAACCACTTAACTTCATTCTGACATCATTCTAACATTCATTAATTTTGCAGTATTTCTGTAAATAGTCTTTAAATTTCTTCCAATCTTCTTCCATCGACTCTTCTCCCTGGTCTCGGATTCTGCCAGTCATTTCCGCCAGTTCCATATAGTCCATCACCTTCATCTGCCATTCTTCCAGAGTGGGTAAATCTTGTGTCTTCCAATACTTTGCAATAAGTATTCTTGCTGCTGTTGTGGCATACATAAAGAAAGTTCTGTCCTTCTTTGGCACCAATTGGCCAACCATGCCCAGGAGAAAGGCCTCTGGTTTCTTCAGAAAGGTATATTTAAATACCCTTTTCATTTCATTATAAATCATCTTCCAGAAAGCCTTAATCCTTGGGCACGTCCACCAAAGGTGAAAGAATGTACCTTCGGTTTCTTTACATTTCCAACATTTATTATCGGGCAAATGATAGATTTTTGCAAGCTTGACTGGTGTCATGTACTACCTGTATATCATTTTCATAATATTCTCTCTTAAGGCATTACATGCCGTAAACTTCATACCTGTGGTCCATAACTGTTCCCAGTCAGCCATCATTATGTTATGTCCAACATCTTGTGCCCATTTAATCATAGCAGATTTCACCGTTTCATCCTGAGTATTCCATTTCAACAGCAAGTTATACATCTTTGACAAAATCTTAGTTTTGGGTTCTAACACTTCTGTTTCTAATTTTGATTTTTCCACCTGGAAGCCCATTTTCTTGTCCAAATTGTATGCCTCCATTATCTGATGATAATGAAGCCAGTCTCGCACTTTGTTTTTTAGTTTCTCAAAACTCTGCAATTTCAGTCTATCTCCCTCTTGTTCCAAAATTTCCCAATATTTCGGCCATTTGGCCTCCATATTGAGCTTTTTCTGAGCTTTCGCTTCCATCAGTGACAGCCACCTTGGGGTTTTGTTTTCCAGTAGGTCCTTATATCTTATCCAGACATTAAACAATGCTTTCCTGACAATATGGTTTTTAAATGCTTTATGTGCTTTGACCTTATCATACCAGAAATATGCATGCCATCCAAATACATTATTAAAACCTTCTAAATCCAAAATGTCTGTGTTTTCAAGAAGCAGCCATTCTTTCAGCCAGCAAAAAGCTGCTGGTTCATAATAAAGTTTAAGGTCTGGCAGGGCAAATCCACCTCTTTCCTTTACATCCGTTAGTATTTTAAATTTTATTCTAGGCTTCTTGCCCTGCCAGACAAATCTAGAGATATCTCTCTGCCACTTCTTGAAGCAGTCCATTTTGTCCAAAATTTGCAATGTTTGAAACAGAAACAACATTCTAGCTAATACATTCATTTTTATCGCAGCAATATGGCCTAGCAGTGAGAGCTTCAAATTTGACCAAATTTCTAAATCTTTTTTCACTTCAGCCCAGCATTTTTCATAATTGTCTTTGACTAGATTCCCATTTTTTGCTGTCATGTTAATCCCCAAGTATTTCACTTTCTTAACCACTGTTAAACCTGCCTCATTCTGAAATCTCTCTCTCTCAATTGCTGTTAAATTTTTCTCTAAGACCTTTGTTTTTAACTTATTCAGTTTAAATCCTGCAACCTGACCAAATTCTTGAATCAGTTCCAAAACCCTTTTAGTACTAGATTCTGGCTCCTGTAATGTCAATACTAAGTCATCTGCAAATGCTCTCAATTTGTACTGTTTAGCTCCGACTTGTACACCTTTAACCAATTGGTCCATTCTAATCATATTCAGCAGGACCTCCAGAACCGATATGAAAAGCAATGGGGAGATTGGGCAACCTTGTCGTGTCCCTTTTTCTATCTTGAATTCTTCCGTCACCACGTTATTTACAATTAATTTAGCCTTTTGTTCTGAATAAATTGCACTTATACCGTTTTCAAAGCCTTGGCCTACCCCCATCCCCTGTAGGTTCCTCTTCATAAAACTCCAAGAAATGTTATCAAAAGCTTTCTCCGTGTCCACAAATATCAAAACTGCCTTAGTATTTATGTTCACTTGTAATTTTTCTAAAATGTTGATTATATTTCTACATTATCAGACAAATGTCTACCGGGAGAAAGCCTGCTTGGTCTTTATGAATCTCTTCCATTAACACTTTTTTAAGTCTTTTAGCCAAAATGTCTGCAAAGATTTTATAATCCACATTGAGCAATGATATGGGGCGGTGGTTCTTAAGCTGCGTCTTTTCGGTCTCTGTTTTCGGTACAAGTGTAATATACGCTTCTTTCCACGACTCTGGTGCCCTTTTCCCACCCATTATTTCATTGCAGACTTCCTTTAAAGGTTGTACTAACCATTCTTTTAAGGATCTGTAGTATCTAGAAGTCAGTCCATAACCTGAAACTGTTCTTAACCTGAGATACCACTTTAGCTAATGGGGCCTCCTGCTGCTGCCGCGCCGCCGCCACCGCACAATTTCTGTTCTTATCCTGAAGCAAAGTTCTTAACCCGAGATACTATTTCTGGGTTAGCGGAATCTATAACCTGAATCGTCTGTAACCTGAAGTGTCTGTAACCCAAGGTACCAGTGTACTGCCTTCATCCCAAGAACTATAATTGATATTTATTAAATTTTCAAAGAATAACAACAAAAATTTCCAAAAAAAAAGAAAAAAATAAAAAAAATTTGAAGATACAAAAAACAAAAATAGTACATAAACAAAAAAGAAAAGAAAACCCAGCCGCAAAGAAAAAAAAAAGAGAAACAGAAAAACAGAAATATGAAGTCCTTTACAATCTCTATTGACTTCCTTTCTAGACTTCCTCCTCCTCCCCTCTTTTGTTTCTTAATTTTTAATTTTTACAGCAAATCCTTTCTGTTTTTTCATAACAATCTGTCATTACGTTTCCTTATTCTATTTTCCTCTTGTCATATAAAAACTTTAAACCTTTTACAAATCATTTACCAATCCTTACTTAAGCCATGTAATTTCATTCAACATCCTTCAAACATTTATAAGCATTCCCAATATTAAAAGATAAAAAGAAAAAATAATAAGTCAAATTCAGTCCAGTCAGCTTCCAACCTCCCCTCCCTGGACCCGGGATTGTCAGTCCTTTTAACCTCTTAACCTGGTTGTCTCGTATCCGAGGCCCTCAAGTCTCTTTCTTGCCCCTTTCGCCACTCTTGTTGATGATTCCTTTCCAGTCGTGGATGCTCCAGCAAGAAAATGCTTTTGACCCTTTGCGGCAAGTCCATCCCAAACCCATTGCCCAAGCCAGACAGCAAGTAATACCACTTCAGATTTCCACAAAGCTTGGAGACCTCAGCTACTCCAATCCTCTGATAGCCCATCACCAGACTCGGAAGGTCCAAATAACTATATGGAGGGGGTCGATCCATCCCCCATTTCCAAGTCTGACCACATTTCATCTTTCCGAATCTGGTTTGTCCCAAGTTCATTTGTCAAGTTCAAAGGCTGATCTTGCCCGTCCAAAGGTCCCTCCATCTCTGAAGCCTCCGTCACTACAGCAGGTTCATATACTTGTATAGCCTTTAACTGAATTTCATTTGTTTGCTGCTGTGCTCTGGTGACTTCCATCATCAAGGTCGTCTCCTGACGCATCTGGTCCAGCTGGGCACTTAGTTTTGAAAAACCTTCCAGGAACAATTGTTCAAGCCTTTGTACTAGCATTGTTCTTCAAGGTCAAAGAAAATTCTTTCCCACGACAATAGTCCAATAGTCCTTCTCTTTTAATCTCTCTGCGTTGCAATTTCACTAAATTCCACTAGATGGAAATTTTTTTTTTTTTTAAAGGAATAAAAGCAACAGCAACAATCTTTCTTTTTCCAGAAACACTTTATCCAAAATTCCCCCTTCCAAATTCAAGAGGCAACAGTAGAATCAAAATGTTACCCTTCTTTTAACTAACTGTCGAGCTAGATAAACTTCAGAACGTCAATTCTGACAGCCCGCTCCTGGTTCAGGGCGGTGGAAAATTGCTTTATTTTAAACTCACTTCCGCAGGATTGAAGAGTCCAAATACAACCCCCTTCTTCTCCTGCAGTCGAAGGGGGGGTTCAGAAATCTTAGATGTTGAATTCTAGTTCTCTTAGAATTTAATTTTCAAGCTTTAATATATTTTGTCTTTGCTTTCTTCACATAACAAAAGAACGGAAGGCGACTTCCTGTTTAGACCTTCCCATTCCGAGTCCCAATTAAGTTCAATTTCAAGTCCAATATTATTTGTTTATTCACCAGTCTTAAAAGTGGTTCAGCTCTTCCAAGATCAGGTACTCACGGATAGATATTTTAGATGCCAAATTGTCCAGGAAAAAGGCAGCGCTCTCCGATAACGGCAGTGCGGCTTTGCTGCACGGAGGAAGCAGTCGACTCACAGCACCACGCACCTCCCACTCCGGAGCCCGTTACCGAGCTCCTGTACAAGGGGAGAGAGCGCTCTCGGTGCCCGCCGAGTCCCACGTCCACAGGCTTCTTCCGCCTGTGGTTTTTGCGGGTCCCCGCTGCGCCATAGCGGCAGGACCCAAGCCTCCGTGCAGCGGGTTCCCTTCAGTCCGAAGGGAATTCCGCCATTTTCCGGAGGCGCCACCCCGGAAGTCAACCTGAAACTGTTCTTAACCTGAGATACCACTTTAGCTAATGGGGCCTCCTGCTGCTGCCGCGCCGCCGCCACCGCACAATTTCTGTTCTTATCCTGAAGCAAAGTTCTTAACCCGAGATACTATTTCTGGGTTAGCGGAATCTATAACCTGAATCGTCTGTAACCTGAAGTGTCTGTAACCCAAGGTACCAGTGTACTGCCTTCATCCCAAGAACTACATTCCAGGGGGCACTTTCCAGTGGATGTAATTTGTAAATTGTAACTCTGTATCGTAAGTGGCACTGTGGGTTAAACCACAAAGCCTAGGGCTTGCCAATCAGAAGGTCGGCGGTTCAAATCCCCGCGACGGGGTGAGCTCCCGTTGCTCGGTCCCTGCTCCTGCCAACCTAGCAGTTCGAAAGCATGTCAAAGTGCAAGTAGATAAATAGGTACTGCTCCGGCGGTTCGGTAAACGCCATTTCCGTGCGCTGCTCTGGTTCGCCAGAAGCAGCTTAGTCATGCTGGCCGCCTGACCCGGAAGCTGCACGCCGGCTCCCTCGGCCAATAAAGCGAGATGAGCACCGCAACCCCAGAGTCGGTTACGACTGGACCTAATGGTCAGGGGTCTCTTTACCTTTTTATCATAAGTTAGTTTCTGCACAACATTATCAGAGTTCAAAGAAACATTCTAGCCAGGCAAAAATACTAAGAAGCATGAAAATTTGGAGCAGTGAGAGGTGAGGTGTGGGGAGACGGTATGGCCTAAGGAGAGCCTTAGGGCCATATACAGAGGGCTTGATGGCAATATTCTGATCCCAGATCTGAGCTTCCTCACTCTTTGGTGTGATCCATCAGCAGGGCCAGTTCAAGCCATTTTGCTGCCTGAGGCAAAGGACAAGATGGCACTCTCTCCCAAGGCACATACAGAAGGCAGTTGGACTGGGAGTTGACTTTTACTCAAATACCGTTGAAAATACAGTATCTTCCACTGTGCTTGAGGGCAGCAGCCTAGTGTAAGGGGTACAGGGCAGGCCACAGGACACTCACAGTTCTGGCCACTCTCCCCCTTCAGTATCTGCCA